TCCACGCAACGCTTTCCGGCACGCCACTCCACGGCTCCCTCGTGGAATTCGATACATAATTTATATAATTCGCATGTTATCCCGGAAAATCATGTTCTCGAGATCCGAGATTTACATTTCTTTCAACATGTAAATCACGATTCCGGCGAATACGGAAATTTGTAATGAGCTCGCGTTTCCCGATAGATCAATATAGGTATGATTTCGATCACATGATACATTTGCGTGCTGTCGCGATTACGGCGGTTATGTAGATTGCAGGAAAAAAAAGAGGGAAAAGGGAGGATGACATGTCTAAGGGACGATTTAGATAAATCGTCCCTTAGACATTACAGAGTATGCTATCGTTGGAGGATTGGCATCGGGGTTGCTGCGATAGCGCAAACGTGGAGAGGACGGCTCTTTCTCTCTCTCTCTCTCTCTCTCTCTCTCTCTCCCCCCTCTATTTTTCTCTCTCTCTTCACCGGCAGAGACGACAAGTGGAGTGGTCCAGGACGATAGAATTGGTAAAACAGCACGGTCGCCTCTTGCCATCGCGTGTGTACATACACGTTTCAAGGCAAGGTATAAAGCGAAAGACGCGAACTTCGAGCAGCATTGTGCCGTCACGTGCGACCACTCGTCATCCCCGCGGTTCTGCAGAGATTGCCTTTCTTGACACACAGCCGGCGGCACTGCCACCCTCCGTTTCTTCTCCGAGATCGGTACATCGTCTTGAAAGCCCGACTGATTTGTCATTTACAAGATTCTACAAGATATTCGCGACAATAATTTCGATTTTAGACGATAGTATAAATAATCTTGAAATTCGATCAGCTGTTACAGCTTTCTTTTCAACGTTTTTTCGTTTCAAGGCTGTTTAATCCTTTCATTTTCGAAAATCTTCACTTTCAATCCGCGTTTTTTGATTGAAAAAAAAAATTGTATTTTGTAGAGTATTCGATTTATAGATGCAGTTAGATTTTTTCGCGTAGTTTTTTGGCGCTTTATTTTAGATTTCAAAGATCGGCTTGATGAATTTTCCCTAATTTGATAAACGTTCTTCTTGTATATCTGTATTACATCGATCCGATGCCTCATCTACTTTTTAATTTAACTTTCGATTTGTAAATTTCTTGAACACTTCAACTTCGTACATTCTGCCATTGTATGTCACTAGATATGCCGCTTCATATCGATTATCAGCAAGTATAGCAGTTGCAACAAATATGTTTTGTATCTTACAAAACTGAGACAAGTTATACGGTACAATAAAAAAATATAAATACATTTTTATTAGTATATTACATCTATATAATGTTAAACGATAAATACTTTTTTGTTCCGATTTGGCAATTGTAAAAAAAAAATTAAAATATCTTTTTCGCGTGATGCTTTTACATAATGAAATCTCGTTGCTATTTACAAATATTTTTATAATTTTGCCACATTTCGTTTTAGTCCCAATCGATATCTTTAAGCAACAACATTGTTTCTATTTATATACCGGAATTAAATTCGTACGTGTGCCTACATCAATGAGCAACGAAATATCATTCTTGTTTCGATAAGCCCCCGCGATAGTTTTCAGCGACGCTCCAATCGAGCAGATCTATCAATCACAATCTTACAATAAAAATAGTAGAGCCACTAATATATCAGCGTTATCCTTCTGAATTTAAATTAGATATCGTTCCTTATAATAGGATCACGGGATTATAATTTCTATCGTTAATGCCGATCGAAAAATCGAGTAAACACATAATTTGACAGTAGTGAAATTTACGTGTAATTATCGACACGTCGTATTATGTACAGCCCACTTCATATATAAGTACTAATCTACGTTTTATATATAAAACAGGTAATTCACATAATATACTTTGGGTAACAATAAATTTTTCGTAAAACTTAACGCGGTTAAAGATTCAATTTCATCAACTTAGCGTCTAAACTTGAAAGTTCACAATATCCTATGTCCTGCATTAAAAGGAATCTGCGCATTTTTGGTCTCTTGACTCTGTTATATGTATTAGTAAATTTTTTTTTTGTTATGTACAAATCCGGCAACAAAGCTATGTTCGTCATTTTACAATATCACCAGCACTCGTTTACCATTAACGTAATCGCAATAGACTTATCTAAGCATATATATATTTATATATTACATCATACCTATAAGATTTTGATAACCGAATAACATGCAATTTCGAATAAATTTAATCAAACAGAGCGCAAATCAAAGTAGGCCACATAAAGTATTTCTAAGCTAATGTACAAAATTTTTTGTTAAATGTGATGAACTAGAAGTTGCAGTCTTACCTGTGTGTGCGTGTGCGTGCGTGCGTGCGTGTGTGTGTGTGTGTGTGTGTGTGTGTGTGTGTGTGTGTATTAACTGAATGATTTCAACTTAAGGATTTAAAGTCAAGAAATCAAGCAATAATGCATAATTCTTGAAAATAAAAAAAGCAGATCGAATAATTATACATTAATATATACATTGCATTATACATGAGTTTTTGTTTTTCGTACGTGAATCAAATTTAAAATATCTCTCTCTCGAAGGATGTTCGTAATCACATATATAAAACATATAGAATTAGTAATCTTTTTCCATGCTACATCACTGTATGTGATACTCAGCGCAAAATAAAGAAAAAAAAAACGATATTATTACGTAATTCACAATTATATTATACATATTTGACAAGTTAGTACGAAAAAGAATATTTGTCATAAAGCAAAAGTCGCAGTATACAACATTACTAAAAAAGAGAAACATGATAGTTTGTATTGATGTATTAAAAATACTATCTACTTTCGAATTATATATATATATATTCATTTTCATTATCATGTCGTTTCTATGTCGTGCGCACCATAGTATCAACGTATCTTTCGCAAAAACAAAAAAAAATAAACGCGAGATACGAACAACTCACAACGTATAATGATAGTCACAGCTATAGTCAGGCCATTACGTAATAACATCGTTTCTGTTGGAATTACTGGTCGTCGCCGACGGATTATCTGAAGTCTCGACGTAACAGACATCGGGATTCGGCACTTCGGAATTTGCCATGATTCCGTGTGTCGGAGCGATGATCCCTCGCGTCGGCGCGACTTGAATAGGTGTTGAAAACGATTGAGCGTCCGCGTACAAACTCACCGTGTGCGGATTGGTACTGCTGGCCGAGCGTTCCAACTCTTGTGATTCACCTGTGGTCAGCGAACAAGAAAAAAAAATGAATACGTTTTAAACATTTTTTTTCACAGCTGTACATTTTTCACGGCAAAACAAGCTAGCGATTAGTCTTACCGTTTATACTGTGAGTATCGGATACCAGGAAAACTGTGACGTTGGACGACTCGCCGGCGTTAGTACTAACGCCGTCCTCGGTGGTAACGTAGGACTGCTCGGAATCGGAGCTGTTGTCGCTCGAGTTCTCCGATCCGAATTGAATTCTCTGATCCTGTGATCTCCTAGCCTGTGATCTCCTAGCTCTGTTAAAAGGATTCTCCCTCTGCCGCGCGAACGTTCCCCCTTGTGTACCTAAAGAAGAAACAATTTTTCTCCTCAAGTTTCGCAGCGAGAGCATATTTCGTTTTACCGATCGCAAAGAAAGAAAAAGAAAAGGATATTCCCGCACCTTGGTGGCCGTCGCGAATAAGAGGTGCTGTATCATCATCCGAGTCACTCTCGTCGGTCACAACTTGCTCGTCAGCTGCAAAAACCTTCCTTTTGCAGACAGGACAAACCCTTCGATTTTTCGTCAACCATGGGTCAATACATTTTGAATGATAAGCTGAAATTGCGAACGAATAGTAGTAGTAGTTTAAAAATGTAACATGTTTAAGATAGCCGAGGGAAATTTTGGCTGGCGAGCAACAAAATAATAATCTACATGTAAAATCGAGTTATAATCGAGATGTTAACTAGATTGTTGGAAAAACGTACCGTGTGCACACGGTAAAACTCGTAATTTCTCTCCCTCTACGTAATCGTCCAAACAAATGGCACATGTCTCGTACGGATCGCCCTTCGTGTACTTGTGTATAGGAATCTTTTTTAAACTAGAACTGGGCAGCCTGTGCCTCCGCTGTCGCCTCCTGTCCTTTATACATCTGACAATCTGTAATACATAAATAATTGGTACTAAAAAAAAGAAAAAGGTCGGCGAAACATTACGGACGCGGTATTTTAACGTCTCGCATCCACGACTTACCATAAAAATAACTATAATTAGGAAACATATTCCAACGACAATAGCGAAAGGTAAGAGCAAATGCGTATTGATATTGAACGGCAGATCGTCGTTAATCAATACGAAATACAGCTGGTCGTATAAATAATTTTCTTTGATCACAACCCCCGTGATGCCGCTGACAAACACCGACGGTATCAAAATTCCTACGGAATCCTTAGCGGACATCGGTTCTGGAATGAAACCAACCAATCTCGTTGAGGAGTCGCGTCTTTGTTGAAGCAGATTTCACAATTACACAATTAATCACGCACCTAGATCGTTGCTGTTTACATTGTGAATAATAGCGGCGTCGTATCCAGCCTCCTGTGCCATTCGAACTTTTATCTCAAAGCTACAGTTAAAACGTCGTATTAGCACTATCCAATTGCCATCGTAATTGGTGTCGTTTGGCGGCGGCTGTATCTTGCGGCACGCAGTGGGGGGATCGGCATAAACTACCATGCCCTAGTGCACATTGTTTAAAATTGTAGACACAAAAATGTATATATATATATATATATGTATACATAATTTATCATTCAAATAAATTAAACGCCATATACCTTAATGCCCTCCGGCGGTATTATGCCCCCGAACTTGGCGGGCATATCGCGAAACTCCTCCTCGATCTGATGCCTCGCCGACGAGGAGAACACCAGAATATCGGCGCGGCTGTACGCGGCGTAGAGGATCAGGAGGACAAGCCGCAGCAGGACTTGGTGGTTCAAGCAGCACTGGCGCATCTTGAAAACGGTCTGAGCGTCCACCTTTGTCATCTAAATTCAATATCTCCCCGAGATCTCGCTCGAGTGGCTCATTCTACGGTTGCTGGGTTTTTTACTCCGCTGATATGACGAAGAGTGACAGCCAACGCGCAGACAGATAGTGCATTGTAAAAAGCGCAGCCGGGGGCCGCCTCTGGAAAAAGAGATCACAGATACACGGTTCCGTTTTAGCTCCGAGATTACATTACGCTGCTCGAATGCGAAACAGACTTCTCTCTTAGCACTTATATTAGGTGTTGATCTTACAGCAGGCACACACGCGCGAAAGATAGAGAGAGATACCCGCAGATCTAAACGCAGATGACAGACACACGCCCAATCTAATCAAGGTAAACAAACACGTGCGCGCGGGGGCCCCGTCGATTCTCGACGATTTCAAAATTACGCTAGGCGCATAATAATCTCGCGAGGAAATTCGCCCTCTCGCACCGAGAGAGAGAGAGAGAGAGAGAGAGAACAAAGTCAACGTTATCCACGACTCGTAAAATGGATAATGGATCCCCACGCACAGCTGCCTCCGCGGTCCATCGTCGTTCGTCGGCGGAGAGCGCGGGGAGAGGAGAAGAAATACTCCGATCTCGTCGCTGACGTCGAGTCGGCGAGGGGGGGAGGAGGAAAACACCTGTCGTCGTCGGACACAAACCGTATCCTTCCGCAAAACGAAAACTTCGACGACACGATGACTCCTCTGTGCCCCCCCCTCCCGGGGGGTCGCGGACGGGAGAAACCGATAACACGAGTCGCACGCGAGCGAGGAGGGGGAGACGCGTGCGGGATGCGTGTATATTTGTGCACGCGTGCAGAAACGGGTCAACGGGCTGGCTCGCTCGATCTTCGATCAGCCGAACTCGGCCGCCGCGTTACATCAAAGAGTCGAAAGAGATAACGATGACGCGAGTCATCGCGGGGGAGCGGCACCGTGATTTCGGCACACATATACACACACACACACACGCACACACACGCACAGGTGGGACCTCGCGGAAGGTGGTGGGACAAGGCGGTCGCGGACAAGAACGTGGACACTTGACGATATACATACTCTCGAGGTCGAGCCACGCGAGGCTCTCATCCGCACGCGACCATTGGTCACTCGACGTCGCGAAGCGCTCCACGACCGGCCATTGACGGGGGGTTCCTCTCAGGGTGAGGGGGAGGGGGGAGGTGATTCCTCTTCGCACTTCTCCTCTTGCCTCCTTTTCCTGCTGCCTCGACTGTCCTTATCCGTTCCGGGGAACGTTTCTCACGGATTCTTCCCGGGCGGGACCTCCTGGACCTCGGGACGGCGACGGAAGGGACGGGCACGTCACGGGCGCGCACGAACGTTTTCGAGGTTAGCTGCGTCTCACTCTTCGATCGCTCGTTCGCATGAACTCTCGGACGACGGCAGGCAGGGTACGGCGACGACGAACAACGGCGGAGCGAGAGCGATCGACGGCGGCGTCGATCGAGCGGATCGGTGTCGCTCGCCGAGCGAAGGAAACGGCTGCGGAATCGCTGACTGATGTGACGGAGCTGTCAGTCGGTCGGACTCGCACGGCAAGCACAAGTGCGTAGGACCCGCGGCCAATCGCGTGCGCGCGTGGGCGAGACGCGGCCTCGGCACGCGACTTGAGCCTCAAGTTCGTTCATTTACGAACCGGATTGAACCCCCGGACGACCCGGACACTTCTTTTTTTCTTCTCTCGAGAAAGAGAAATAATTAATATTATTATAGATATTATATAGGAATTAGTTATTAATATTATGTTGGTTACATCTTATATAACATCTTATGTAACATCTAATTATATCTTAATATCTCTCTAATTATGTTGTATCCTTTATAATTTTTACGTAATTTCTGTTTGAAAGGCATCAATTAATGTTTTAATGAAGCAGAGGATAAATAAATAATTAAGTTGAATGCTCAGTTAATTTGCTGTTTCGATGCTTTAACAACTATAATCAGCAATTAGTTTGCTAAACTTATATGATTTAATAACTATAGATGAAAGATGTTTTTATATTCTCAAAGCATCAAAACAGTAAACTGAACACTTATTTTATTTTTTCGTTTATTTTATTATCTCTTTTATCTTCTATATTTCACTAAAATACTAATCACTACCGCATATTGTCCACGCAAAATTATGTAATACTGCAGACTATAACGTCGACAATTATGAGAAACGAAGGATAGGATAGACATATTAGTCAAACTTTTAATCAAAACATATTTTATTTTTGTGTATATAAATCCAGAAATTTACATAAATTCTCAGCAAAAAAAATAATAAACAATTATCGAATGATATAAATTTGATAATCATACGTATCTCTTGTCTCTGACAGAGAAAGTGCGATAGCAGATCCACGAAGATCAGTATAAGCTAATGCGAAGTCTTGAGATCCTTCAGATCTTCCAACTCTTGAGATACCAAGTTTCATCAATCGTCTTCTTAACGTGTCGTCACTTATAAGGTATAGTGTCAATAATTGAAATAAAATAATTTTGAGAACGTTTAACTTGTCGGGCCCGTAAAAAATACAGAAACCGCCGTTGGAAATGTGTACGTGGAGTCAGTGATGTGTCTTCTAATCTAATCTCGAAAGTACAAGTGTGTGACAACATTCTTGTACTCGCTATAGCCACGCTGATATGTACCTGCCAAGATACGTATCAACAGTGCCCAAGTTATATCGCATTATATTCTGTAGTTTTGTACTGTCTCACTTATAGAAAATACGACGAACAAACAACGAGCGGTATAATCTACTTTACACATGAGCAGAAATATGTACCGTACAATTGTTATTATTATTATTATTATTATTACGTACGCGTAACTGGCGCTTCTTTTTTATGCATACATCACATACGGAACAACGCTATATACATTTACGAGCCACAGCATTTATAAAATCTTCGATCTGTAAATTTATGCATCGTTGCGTTGCACATTACGAAATATGTGCAGGAAATACGACTGGAAAAAAAAAGAGCCTTATCTAAAACGATACAATTCGATTCGTTACAAAATCGAATTTGTAACAATATCCCGTAACACAATATACCTACAGCACATTCGTTTTCGGAGAAAGCTGAGAAACTGATTTAAATCGAAATAAAAATTTGCCGAAAGTTATAGTTGACTCCGACAGCAAAATGTCGTTTTATAAAAAGTGCGCCGTAAAAAAATCACGATTAGAAAGACACAGATGCAACGAGAGACTGATACGAGTGCGTATTCGGCTAAAAACATTTGTAACATGTAAAACTGTCAGTCAAGATGGCAAAGTCTGTTGATTCAAGGCACCGTTATAAACAACATTCGATATCTGCCAATTTCTGAATGTACTTAATGTAGATTATAAGTTCCATTGCAATTAACAATTATTTACAGTTACCGTAATTTTATCTTCCTCCTTCCCCCCCCCCCTCGTGAGAATTCAAACCCCGTTAAAATTCGTCTACGTGGAAATCTATCGTCGAGCAACTGCACTTTCATCAATAGTCTTTCTCTCTGTGTCTGATCGATTAACTTGCAAATCAATATATTTAATATAGAATATAACTTCCTTTACAGTTTGCAATTATTTACAATTCATTATTTTATTCCCCGTAAAAATTCGAATACGTTAAATTTGCCCGCGCGAGAACCTATCGTCGAGCAGCTGCGCCTTCATCAGAACAGTCTTCTTTTGCGCCTGATCAAATCGATTGACTTGCAAATCGATGTCTCTGTCAAATGGCCTTCTCGTTGATATCCCACTCCGTTTTGCTTCCTTTTCCTCTTTCTGAAAAAAAAAAATAAAAATAAGATATATATAATTTCCATAAATACGAAAACGAATGTATGGAAATAACTAATTAATTATGAAAATAATTGTTTTTCGATAATTATTTCCCTAAACATAAATTTGATAATTTGATAAAGACAAGTCAATTGACCTTCTTTTTCTTGGCAATCTTGCTTTGGTGCATTTCTAATAGCGATTTCTCGCGTTTTCCGCTTTTGTCCGTTTCCTTCGTGTGACATTCGTTTACATGCTTTTTCTCCGATTCTCTGAATCGTTTTGTTTCCTGAAAAAAAAGAAAATGCACAACAAACGTAATATTAGCACATACATAAAATGCTAAGTGGCAATGCAAATGGAATGTCTCGCATTCGAAACAGAATGCATGTAGTAGGACGTTTTTCATATTTACCAAGTCCATCTGCTTCCGAGCTCTTTGTGCCGGTGTGTCGGTCCAACATGATCTATCTGACATATCTGGGCCGTCTCGAAGCCTGAATTTGCGCGGGCCTAGTCCGAGATTAGCAGCTTGAGCGGGTGGTAACTCGGTCATCCATTCCTCACGCTTGTTTCCGTCATCGATCTGAAATACGAATACTTGTCTTTCTCGTTGACGAAACTAGTGATCCGCAATAGCAATTTATTTGGGCACTGGATAGACCGGTTGTCTTGTACTAACACAAGTAACAGAAGCAAGAATAAAAATTTAAATCAATCTCTAGGATAACCAGACGATAAAAATAGTAAAACACGAAAAAAAAAGTAAAGGAAAAAATAATCATTTTCTTTACCTCTTCCGAATATTTTTCGTCCCTAATTCTTCGCGCTCTCAGATCCAACTGCTCGTGTACGCGGCTGGTTCTCAGAGCTGGATGATCCACAGGCAGAGGACCTATCGCAGAGTCATCGTCGGATTCCGGAGACGCAATCGGATCATCTTCGCGCGATTCCATCATGCCGGGTAGCACAGGGCCGATAATTCTGTCCCGCGAATCGTTCTTCCGTTGTCGTTGTAACAAATGTGGTGGCAGTGCTGGACCGAAAACAGCGGTCGCCTCCGCAGAAGCGACAGCATCCGCTGCGTCATCTCGCTCCATGCTTCGACGATCGTTTAAACGAGGTGGCGAACGAGGTCCAATAAAATTCGTATTTTTCCCATCGATCTCAACGTCGACTTTATCGCCGTCGAGAGTCTTCGTCTCGAAATCGAGTTCATCACCGTCGGGCGCATTAGACGCGAATCCCGGTGGTAAAAGCGGACCGTACGTGGATCCGGCTTGGCCCGTGTCTCTCTCGATTAACCGTGTCCCGTCCGAAGAAACGTTAGAGCGCGAATATCTCTCTCCCGAATTCGAACATTCGACGTTACTGTCGCGAATAAGCATTCTCTCCTCTTCACAATACTCAGACTTATCTCTCTCAGAGTCCACACGTGTGTCTCTCGCTACCAAGAGCGACGCGTACGATGCGGAGCTGTGTAAGGAATCTGAAACGGCACTAGGATTATTATTACTGGAACCAGATGCCGGATCGTACCTCCTCCTCTTTACCTTTAATTCCTCCCGCCGTTTTCTCTCGCCGGCCCCGTCGTCGTTCTCGCGCCTCGCGTGACTTTCCGGCCGGATCTCGGAATCGTGTCTTTTCAGCTTGATCTTACGCGAGCGCGGGGACGATGGTATTCGGCTCTCGGAATCCCGGCCGTCCGACATGTTCTCGTCGGTCTCCGACAGAACGTCGAATTGCGACAGATCGAGATCCTTGCAGTCCTGAGCCTCCGCCATCGGCGAGTCCGCCTTCTTGGCGTTCTCGCTCGAGCGAGTCTCGCTGTGACCGCGCTCCTGCTCGGCGGTGTTCCTCGGCGAGGAGTGGTCCCTCGTGTTTTGCGACCTGTTCTCCTTCACCGATATCTTCCTCGAGGACTCGTGCCTCCCGTGATCCTCCCGCGGCCGATGATCGTCGCCCGAGGGCTTGACTCTACCCGACTGGTGGGATCTGTCTCGACTCCTGTCGCGAGAACGATGCTTGTGCCTCTCGTGATACCGACCTCGGTGCTTGTCGTTCGACGCGCGCTCGTCGTGATAGTTCCTCTCGTACGAGTGCTCCCGCGAGCGTTGCGCCCGGTGAACGCTCCGATCCCGGTCCGAACCCTGCCGTTTCGCGTCGCGCGATCTCTCCCTCGCGTCGCCGCCGTTGGAATTTCTGGGGCCTCTGTCGTTCGCGGCGAATCCAGACCTGCCCTCCCTGTGCTCTTTGTGCGAATTCTTGCCGTCCTCCTGTCTCGAGTTTCTCAACTCGTGCTTCGAGTGCTTCGCGGAGTGTCTGACGTCCTTGTCGTCCGTCTTGCTGGCTCCGCTCTCGTGCTGCTTGGATCGCTCCTTCCTGTCCCGATAACTTCCCGCCTCGCTGTGGGACGACGCTCTGTGCTTCTTCTTAGACGTCCTCGTTCGATCCGCGGTGTCCACAGGCGCGACCGAGTCCTTGCGCGTGGCCTCGAAACGAAACCGCCGTCCGTCATCGCTGTCCTGACTCTCGGAATCGGAATCCATCGCTGTCATAGTCTAATTACATGCTGAAAGCACGACAGAAACCATCATAAGTCGAGTCTTTAATGATAATGTATGTATAAATGACTACGTAACTTTGGCTCGTATTGAGAACACGCATATAACGTTAGTGCGTTGTAAACAAGTGAGATTCTATAGTACGTACGACGTTAACTACATGCTAAACGCGCGTTAATATCGTTGCAAGTGCGTTCTAAATACGGGCCATCTCTTGGAATCTCGTGACATTAGATAATATATTTTAGCAGGCAACGTTTCAATCTATCTCACTGAAACGATTCTTTCCGAGTAACAAAAAACAAAATAGCTTTACTACTTTACGAGCGTATACCACAAATTGGAGGTATCAAGTACCTACAAATAAATTATTACATCATTGAGTGTAACCATCCATTTTATTTGTGATACAGGCTTCGTGTAAGAATTTACATAAAATGTACGTGTATCAGGATTAAATTAGCTTTTTATCTAAAAGAACAACGTTAACTACTCGATGCGCTTATCGACGTTCCTAGGCTCTGCCTTCTTTACAACGGTCTCGACAATTTTCTCGATTTTATTCGGATCAGGCTTAGGCGGCGGGCTGGACTGTAGCATCTTAATTATCTTGGCGCCGCCGTACTTGACGGATTTCACAAGCCCGGCGGTCACGATTCCCTTCAGGCTTTGCGTCACGCTGGACCGCCAAACGATCTCCTTCAGGCAGCGATCCAACAAGTCGCAGCACTCGGGATCGTGCGCGATCGCGCGCAGGCAGTCCTCCGTGTCCTTCGATCGCGGGCCGTGAGACCACGCCCGGACTAGCTTAACCTGCGGCGCTCTGGGCAGGTGATTCAAATGGTGGACTCTGGACGCCGGGCTGGTGTCCTGGTGACACGTGACGGTCATGTGATCCGACCTGGGGATGTGCACGTAATTGTCGAAGTGCCGCAAGATCGGCTCGTACAGCTGCTTGAAGTGGTGCAGCTGCGGCAGCACGATGTTGCTGATCTTATCCTTGTTCTCGCCGAAGATCATGCGAAAGTCGCCGTGATACGACAGGCCGGTGATCCTCCTGAAGAAGTCCACCTCCGTGAAGTGATCGGGCAGCAGCAGCAGGGCCGCGTGCACGGCCGAGTGCAGATTCTGTACCAGCGCGGTGCGCAGCTGCGAGCTCTCTGCGTCCGGCTCCACCAGCACCTTGACCGGCTTGTGCAGCCTGCCCGCCAGGTACAGGTTGTTCCAGTCCAGCAGATCCTCCACCAGCGAAACCTCGGACATCACGCCGTACTTGATCAGCTGATCCTGGCTCGTTCTCACCAGCGTGTTGTAGAACATCTTGGCGCCCGATCCCTCCTGGACCCTCGTGATCGCTTTGGGGCCGAGGAATCTCAACGGCTTGGCGTAATGCCCGGGGTTCCTCGTCAGATTCTCCGCGTGCCACTTGTTGGCGTTGCGCACGACGAATATGAGATCCAGCATGTTATCGCCGTCGTTGTTAACCTGTTTGAACGCACCTGATCCGTAGGCGAAGCAGAACTTCATGTTGCCGGGAAACTCGCCGAGCAAGTGCCTCAGCTGCGGTACTCTGGCGACTTTCTCCATCGTTCTACGGGACTATTCGGGGGCTATGTAATACGAGACAGGTACTGGCATCCAGGGTGAGGAGATTAACACCTATAATTTCACGTAGTCTCTTACATCGCCTGACACACACACACACACAAGCTGGTGCGTTCCGTTTCATGCACGATGCGTCATTTTTATTCACGTTGCTCGCCGAATGTCGAGCAAAAAATATAAATGACACATCACGCGCGTCATGGCGTGTCAATGAAACGAAACGCACCTACAATCCGGAACGAGGAACTCGCCGAGGGATATGCTTAACGACGCAGCCGACGTTCACACACCATGAGGACCGACGTGGCCGCAGCAGTCGGGCTCCGAGTAGGAGGTAACGTCGAGGGCGACCGACAACTTTTCGAGCTTTCTCTCTCTCTCTCTCTCTCGCACGAGGCTCGCGTCTCTCGTCTCCTAGGTGTCGACGACAGACATGCCCAAATCGATCTACGCGGTCAACCGCGCGCTTTCCCAACGCCCATCTAACCTAGAAACGCAACTCGTAAATAGTTTTCGCTTACAAAGTTTACTTACTCGGTGTAGGGGGGAGGGAGGGGGGGAGAGGGACGGGAATGTTCCTCTTTCCCCGGGAAGCGACTAACCGAGACGGTTTCCGTCCGAGGAGACCCTTCCCGGCCCTACGCCGCCTCGATCTCGGTGTCCGGCCGGAATTCTCGCCGATCTATCTCGAGTGTATATACAACGCGCGCGAATACCACCAGCTCACGTTCACGTACGTATACTTGTCAGCTCGGTGGTTTTTACCTTCGAGGCCGTCTGACGGCTTCCCGTCTTTCGCGATATCGGATGTGACGCGATATTTTATTCGGCTAAAATTCACGCAGGTGGGGAAAAAAATAAAATCGAGCGTTCTAACTCGCCATTATATACGTACACACACGCTCGTGTCTGCCCCGTGACGAGGCGAATCGTTCGCCTTTGCCCTTTAAACGCGACAACACGTTGACCCGGGCGGGCGTGCGGCTCCTCAGTCCTCACCGCGCTTCCGCAGCGAAAACGTAGGTCGCTGCACACGCGTTCTGTTGAATTGTGCACGCCCTTGAAGGTACGGACTTCCGGCGTTTGGCGCGCCTCCGACGCGGGTAACATCCGTTCCGGAAATCAAGGGCGGGATATTGAACTCACAGGTCAATCTTATGTATATTATAATTACTCCTGATATTAGCATATAATTAGTAAAAGTGAGGAATCGTTAATTTTTAGGTAAAAAAGAAAAAAATTATTCGCAGAGACACGAACCTTACTTCATTTGTTTGCCATCGCGATTTGTTTGTTCTTTATCTAAAAATTCTAAAATATATATATCTGTCACACGTTTCTGTCAGCTCAGACTCGAACCACATCCCTCTGACGTTACCCGCCGATAAACATACGTGCGTAGTTCACGCTTTGGGCGCGTAGAGGCGCCCAGTGAACGTACTCCATTTGAAACGCGGACACGTCCATTCTCAAGCTCTCTTTCTTCGCTTCTCTTTCCGTAGGAAATCTTGCGTGAGACGGTCGCGACGTATCTCGAAATATCGATCTCACTCTCTCTCTCCTCTACGCTCTCTCTCTCTTTCTCGACGCTACGCAACGCGGCGACTTTTCTTCCTCGATGAGAAAGGATCGACGCGATGGCCGTCCGCATTGGATCGCGCTGATCATCGTCGCCACGACAGACATCACCGCGGTGATTCAGACGGATTCGCGACGTCGATTGTAGTTCCCGACGGGTATTGTCGTCCGCTCGCCTCGCTCTTTCTCTCTCGCCCGGGAACTCGGTGCTGATTTCCACGGATCAGTCGAAGCCAGCGAGGACGCGAACGACCGGGGAAGCGCCATGGAGGTCGACGTGCCTGAGGAAAATACAAATGAGCCAACGGCGATGGAGATCGATGAGGACACCTCCGAGAGGAACCCGAGGGTGTCCGGGAGTGTCAAAGTCATGGCCTCCTCGGGCACCGTCGGCTCCGTGTCCATCAGCCTGCACCCGCTGGTGATCATGAACGTCAGCGAGCACTGGACCAGGCTCAGGGCTCAGGAGGGCAGCGATCAGTTGGGTAAGATTCCTGTATCTTCATTATAATTAACAGCAAGCTCAACAACAGACGCAAACACTTGCGTTTGCCAACTGAATTACATGCTAAAAGATGTATATATATAATATATACATATATACATATACATATAGGTTATATATATATATATATATATATATAAAACCTTGAAATATTAGGCATCTTATTAATTAATTTTTTAATTTAATATTTGAGCTTAAAATTGATTTGTGACATTATTTTTGCTTTAAGAAATCTTTAAATTTATGTATAACACTATAATAGGAAGCAATACAGGTGCCTAAGAGAATTTTAGATAAATAAAAAAAATATAGGTGCCTAATACTTTTCCAAAGTGATTTTGATATACCAATAAAACTTCTAGAGATTGCAGTTAAATAAATTTTATCAATAATACTCATTGAATTAGAAGCACTTCACTGTTTCTAACGACAAGATACTTTTCAGTGTACGGCGCTCTGATTGGTAAGCAGAAGGGTCGAAACATAGAGATCATGAACTCCTTCGAACTGCTGTTCACATGCATCGGCGACGACGTCATAATCGATAGGGATTATTACACCACGAAGGAGGAGCAGTTTAAACAGGTCTTCAGTGATATGGACTTTTTGGGCTGGTACACCACCGGTGACATGCCTACCGAGAAGGATATTAGAGTGCACAAGCAGCTCTGCGAGATCAATGAAAGTCCTGTGTTACTGAAACTGGATCCAAGACCAAAAAACACAGAGGTGAGTTAATCGACATATATTTCTGTGAAAATATTTTGTTTTTTTTCTTTTTTTTATCACTTTTTAAATGCACCAAAAAACGATACATTCAAAAATAATACGATTGTTGCAGCACTTATCTGTCTCTATGTACGAATCGGTAATCGACTTGGTTAACGGTGAGGCCACCATGTTATTCGTTCCGTTAACTTATACGTTAGCCACAGAGGAAGCCGAGAGAATTGGGGTCGATCACGTGCAGAGGATGTGCAACAACGATCAAGGCGAATGCTCAGTTGGTGGGTAAACACAACCATGCGGTTTGGATCATTTTTCCATTCCGACCTTGATCAACTGTCGGAATCAAGATGAGATAATCTAAACATCTGATTTCAGTGGCTGAACACTTAACTGCGCAGCACAGTGCCATAAAAATGTTGCACGCGAGGGTGAAACTCGTTCTGAGATACGTGCAAGCGGTGCAGAGCGGAGAACTGAAGGGAAATCATGAAGTTTTACGAGCGGCTTGTTCCTTGAGTCACCGACTGCCTGTGCTGAACAACCCGAAATTCAAGGCTGACTTTTATAACGTTAGTATATCATTATATACATTAATATAATGCAATTCAAAGAATACAATTCTAATGATTAAGTTGTTTTAATTTAATTTTTTTTTATGTTTACAGCAATGTAATGATTTTGGCTTGATGACGTATCTCGGTATCATAACTAAAGGCTGTAATAATATAAATCAATTTGTAAACAAATTTAATATCCTGTACGATAGACAAGGCGTGGGACGACGTCTACGGAGTCTCTTCTTCTGATATGTAAATAGAATCTATTGTTTTTATACATGTCTTTTTTTACTTCTTAGATAACTATAAGTATCTCGAACTCAGGATTAAAGATTTAAACAGCCAATTCAATCGAGGGATAGTTTAATTACTACTTCTAGTGGTACGTTGTATCGAATATAAATAAAGTAAAGGAGTTACGTTTAGCAGTCTTTGAGGTGAACTGTAATAATAGCAAATGATAGAGAGTAAGAATCTGAAACATACATCACGTCGTTAATATCGTTCAGAAGTAATATTTATTAAATGCCGTCTTGTATAAATGGTATGTTTTAACACATTTCAATTAACTAACAATAACGTGTGATATTAATAAAAACTGTGATGCGTTTCAAGAGATTTCTTTTTGCTTTATCATCGATTTAGCGTTTAGTCGAATTATAATACGAAAGAAAAAGAAAACTAAAATTTATATTGCAAACTAGGTACATATACCGAAGTTACGATCAGATAATAAATCTCAAATAGATGCAAAATTTCAATTTGTGTGGATACAAATTTATTAATATACTCGTATACTTCACATATGTATATATATATGCTTTTGAAAACACTCCTATCATTGCTTAGAATGAGAAGTACAGCGAGAATATATAAATCATAGGATACTTTCACACGTTTTTGCTTTAATAATGGAAGACCTCATTTTAATTGATTTATATACTACCAAGCACATACCATTCCCTTTGTAGGCCATACCCACTCGTTATGTCCTCAATTTACGATTCCATACATAGCAGCGACTTATGTATAACACATAAGTTTTTTCCTTCATAAAAAAATTGCCTATATTAGTCTTTTATTATAAAATACTAAAAGTTTCCCTCTAAAAATCTATTCGCATGTTACATATATATATAATATATATACTCCGACTTAAAGTGTAGAACGACTTAAAAATATTATTGTACAAAATATAGTTTAGTATATTGTGCCTCATTAGTTATTGCACGTAACTGCGTTACCAGTTACTCATTCTGTACGAAGTAAAACCAGAATTGACCTCTCTCTCGTACACGACTAGACCGTTATTACATATGATTGCAGAGAGTATACCACGCTCTCTTACGACGACGTGACATTAATGACAACTGAACGTCCGGTATATCACGCTATTTTTTTCTCCCTCCGTCGCGGAAATGTGACGCGGATGAGTCCTTACAGTAAAACTTGATTCGACAGCACGATACACTACGTACATACACAGACTAGAAAATATCGCAGCGACTACCTATCATTTCCTATTTGATATATTGCCTTGTACAACGAATTGTGCGAGTTTGCCTGATATCATTTTGATATGCTAGACGAGAGTAAAAGTTCAAACAAAAGGAAAAAAAAAGAAAAGAGTAAAATCATTATCTCCCTTTCGCCAGAATAAAACTCGTATAACACGTTTTTCATCTAACAATGACTACGACTTACGAGTTAATTATCGATCTTACGTTTAACTACAGTTCAAGTACCCGTTTGTTTCTTTCCCTTTTGCATGCCCCGCCCGCGGAAGAGTGTATAATGATATATATTAGTTTTTCATTAGGCTGTCTTCGATCATGGTAGCCAGCACGTCCACCAGAACGGACAGCATCGAATCGGGCTAAGGACCCGATTTATCCATACCGATGATTTCCTCGAAGAGACTGTTTTTCCCTTCCATCCGCTCCTCGATCGCGTGCATGGCGTACCTGAGCGTCGCGGCGGACAGATCGCCCACCGACCAACGTCTGTCCATCAGAACTCTGCTCACAGTGTCCAACTGAAACGGCGAATTTTAATTAGAACGATGAAAGGTCAGACGATAAAAATTTATATACACGGAAAGAACGATTTTGTTGAAAGGTCTAAAAATTTTGCCGAATATCGGAAAATTAATTCTTGTTGAATCATCAAAAAATTTCGTTGGAACGTTAAAAATGATAAGTATTGCTATAAAATGTTTCGATATTCTAGCAATATTATTTTGAGTTTCCAACAAAATTATTTTGATTATTGAACCAAAATTATTTTCAGATCTGGATTCAGCAAAATTGTTCTTTCCATGTAGTTTAATACCATTTCTTCTTACCTTGGATAAACTGGGATTGCCGGAAGTATAATAGATTAGTCTTGGTGTGCCCGCCAGAGAGGAGGCGAGCCATTGAATGACGAGTTTCAGTTGTGGATCGCCTTTCAATCTAGTCCCGCATCCCCAGTTGCCGGTGGCCACGGGAAGTAAGCCTCCTCCTTGGGGACTGTTCTCGTGCGGCAACTGTGCACACGGTAAAACGGGCAAGTTACAGATAATTTTGTCGCCGCGCACACCAGTCTGTCCTCGATGTAATAATGAACATAAAATTAGTTAACATTTTAAGTTACTGGGAACGTACGTGATTATCGAAACGTCATTAAGATTTTTAGAGATACACGTAACATACAAAGCTAAACGGTTATTGTCGTTTTAGTTCACATGGAGAATTATTCTTTTGTTGTAACGATATAGAGAAAAGAATGTACATGGGCGCGGTGTTTTCGGCCGGTGGTTAATAACAGATAGGGCGAAACGAGAGGTGTGTGTGAGTGAAGAACTGTAAATCGGATAGACTGAGAGACAGATAAATGTATTAGTTCTAAGGGTCTCTTGAACACGATGAAGATGCTTGATCTTAGTCCGCGCGGTCATGCATCAAGTCGAGAGACAGAAAGAGAGAGAATAAAGAGAAAAAAATGTAAGAAAAGATACACGAGATGTCAGGCAGGTCTCATCCCGACGAGTTACGGTCTTGCCGAAGAGTCCCAAGCCATAGAGAGAATGCGCGCTCTTTTCTCTCGAAGCGATTCTAAATAACGGGTCGAACACAGTTGCTGTCTCATGCATTGCGATTATATACACGTTGATGCGAGCCAAGTCATCAGAATCACCTCCGAGGCGCCGAGCGCGCTCGCCTCGCGCGTTTCACGCTCGCTCGCCGTCCGTCCCGACTCGGACGCGGGCGGTGTAGACAGGCGTACGGTCGTGTGGTCATCGACCAACGTTTGGAACGCTTCCGACGTGAACGTGACAGCCCAAAGTTTCCTACGCTGGGCGTCCCTCGCCTCTCTTACCATCTCGCACAAGGCGTCCTCGTAGCGATCTACGCCCTCGGACTCAGACACCTGTATATGCATTTCCGGCTGCCTGTAGTCCAAACTCGAAACTTTTCATTTACCGATTATTCTGCGTTAGATTAGCTTCGCTCGATCAAATCGACTCGGACTGTCTCTCATTCCATCTTACTGCTCGAAGTTCGAATAACGAAGTTTCAAGGATATATCTATGCGCTTTTATATACAAGTGTGTCTGTATATGTTTAACACGGATTATGTGTCTGTTTAAAGCATATCAAGTTTGTTTTCTGATCGCAAAAAATTAAGCATTTAAGTTTCGACTTATTATTAACAAAAACTAAAGCAATGAGATAATGAGTTTTTGTCTTGAGTGCCTCCTTCCGGGAACCGAAGAAGTCGCGCGATTGCAATTCGCGATTATTCTACAAAGTGAATTTTATCGCGGGTAACAGAAAACTCGAGCCTTTTTACAAATTTAGTTATCTCTTTCGCAAGAAACACGTAACACGTTTAGTCGAACTTGTTTCTTACTGATTGCTGTCTCCGATTCTTCTGCCGAGCGAGCTCCAAGCTGAGGCTCCTCACGGCCAAGGCCAGCTTGTGCTGCTGATTCACGTCGTTCGCGTCGAGGAACGGCTGCGGCTCGCCCTCCTGGACCGGCACGCCGGCGAACGACTCGCTCAGGGCGCGTTTCAGAAGCGAGCCGGCGAACCGTACGACCGCGCGATCCCTCGCGTCCAATTCCCGGCTCTCGTCCGCCACTATCGGATCCTCCAGCCACTTTGACAATTGCTCGTAGACCTCCTCCAGCTCGGAACAGAAATCTGCGCGCGCGTGCGAAAGTTTAATCAGCTTTCGTTTATCCCCATCGAGAGTAAACCTCGTGCGTAAGCGAATCTCTATTCGAATTGTTACTCGCCAGAATTGTACTCGGTGCTGAAACTGTACTTGCTGCTCGCGCTCGTATCCTTCCTCTGGAACATGGGCCCTTGGCTCTGCCGGAATCGGCCGAGCCACTTTTGCTCCGCTTCCAGAGACTCCTTCAGGAACTCCTCGTCCACCGTCTCGTCCCGCAAAACGAAACCCCTCGAGCCTCCTCTTCTCAACCTATAATATTGCATTCGATAAAAATCAAATTTCCAAGCGGTAGTTAATAATATATGTGATTTAATTACATCCAAATGATATAATTAAAAATATTATCAAGATTTTTTACAGGGCTTTTATCGTTCAACCGTTCATTAAAAAAATAATGCTTTACGCATGAATTTTTTCCGCTCGTTTGCGCGGCTAATCTATAATAGCTCAAAATATTTTTTCATGAATTTCGACTCACTTGATGTCTTGATCGCCAACGTGGCTACCGCTGACGCTTATACCCACGGCGTAACTGCTCTCGCCGGAGGAGGTGTTCGAGGAGGAAACCCCGGTTGCCGTACTCTCTCGCTTGAGAGCGTCTTTTAGTCGCTGCGCGAAGGTTCCTCTTCTCTCGGGCGTGTCCAACTGCGCGCTGTAGTGTTTGCTCACCTTCTGCTCCTCTTCCTCTGAAAATCGTTCTCGGTTAATAGAATTCGCCCTTTCTCCGTCTGCAAATCATCCCACCGATTATCTCATCGCGAGCGCGCGTACCAGGCTCCTCGTCGATGGTCTCCTTAGCGCTGTGGAAACTGTCCGTGCTCTGGCTGTTGCAGCTGCTGTAGACCGACATCTGGCCGAGCTGCCGCGTCACCGGCAGCACCTCGCCGCTAGATCCGAGCACGATGAATCTGTTCTTTCGGCTCGTGTAACTCGCGTCCTTGCACACCTTGTGCGGGGGGCTCGGCGGTCTAATCGATTTACCGTTGGGCCTGCTACGCACTTCCGTCGCGTTCTCCATCAGTCTGTTCTCCGCCCTGTGTCGCTCGTCGAGCGGGGACTGCTTGTCTGTGCACCCGTTAAGAAGAAAACGCAGATCGTAGGACGCCAGACAGCTGATTTTTTAAGTTAAATTACGCGAATTTACAGACCGCTTCTCTCGCGGTAACTCTCGCTCGCCCACCTGTCTTGGAGTTATTCCCCGTCGCGAAAGCTTTGTCCTCGCCCTCCGTTTCCGGCGGGGTGCTGCTGAAGCTCTCGCCGATCGGCGACAGTCTGCGCGAGCCCAGGCCGACCTCCGCCTCCGACTCGGTCTTGATCGGATCTGTGGGGCTGCTGGGCACGTGCCTCTGCCGAAATCCCAGCAGCGACTTGTTCATCTCCCTCAAAATATTGTCCTCCTCGAATTGCGTCAACGGCAATCGCGAGTAATCCTCGGGATCTATGCAGCAGACCGTTACCTGCGCTCGGAAAACTGTACGATTGTTTGCCTTCCCATCGCAGACAGCGCGTGAAAATCCGCGAGGGATCCGAGATCCCCCCCCGCACTTCACTCACCACGTTCGGCTTCGGGATACCCTCGAACACCGCCTTATGCCGCGGATCGTTTATCCTCGACACATGCCGGACGCCCTCGATTATCAGTACTTCGTTGTCTTCTAAGGCCTCGACAGATAGTATCGCGGCGAGCATCTCCGGATGCGTCGCCACCTGCATAAAGATTCAAATTAATTTGCAATCTATTTCGATTTGATATATACATATGTTAATATATATTAAAGAGTAGTTTTGGAATTCAAACAGGAAAAATAATTCCAATAGGTGAAGGCTGTGAAAGAGATCTGTAATTTATGTAATTTATTCAAATTTATTCTTCCATGTCTATAATCTTTAAGATATGGATAAATTTAAATTTTATTTTATTAACTGATTGATAGGAAACACTCTGAAAATTTTCTCTAATTTATTACAAGTCGTAAAATAAAGTTTAAATGCTCATGTGATATTTTTTTCTTCTTCTGCAGGAACTCTAAATTTACCAATTGAAATATTGACACATAATTAAGAATCTTCTCGACGCGTAGGGATTGTGGGTATAATTTTTCTTAATTAATTACATGTACAGTTTCCTGCGTGACATCGCCATCAAGCACGCCGCCGCCGATTTTCGCATTCGCGAAACAAACTTGCAGTACTTTTGATTCCGCCTCGACTCGTTCCAATCGTCCCTCGTGACGTATCGTCAGCGGACATAGGGGTACGTTACTCTCCAGCCAATCTTCGATAGTCAGCCACTGCTTAGACGTCATCACCTGCGAATTGTATTAAGTCTCGTATTTTGTTAAAAAAAATAGAGAGAGAGATATGCGATTTTAGAATCTGAAATAAGTATTGATTAATTATTGGAGAAAATGTCGATTGAATCGTGCATCGCGTACCTGTCTAGAAATTATTAAACGGCCGTCAAGTGCATGCTCCGTCTCGAGATAATTATAATAATGAAAGATACTCCTGAGTTTGGCTTTCTGTACGTTTCTGGAAAACGATAAAGTTTTCAAAACCCCATTATTTTTTTTTCCTTCTTAAACTTATAGCAATAAATTTCTTTGACGACTTGGCGCGCTCGGGAGTTGTACTCACTTATGGAGGTGTCTGAAGAAGTTCGTAAAGTTGAAATCGCGCAATGTAGGATGAGTCTTCGCGGTTCTCTTCGGGTACGTCGAGAAGAACGCGTTCGCGATCAAGGAGGAGACGAAGGCGTAACTGTACTCGACGCTGTCGCCTGCGTAAGATGAATTAATTTTCGAGTCATCAAAGATCTATACTTGTGGTGTTTACAATCTTACAATTTCCGATCTGCGAGATCGTTAAAAAAATAGTTTAACAACGCGAGAACACTTGTCTCGTGTAATCTACACGAATGCGAGTACTTCGGAAAAAATAATGTCGGAACTCGCGACGATACCTTGCTGCTGGAGACTGAAGTGTAAACCCTGCGGGGGTTTCGTAGACTTTAAGGCCTTCGCCCGTTCCACTATCCGCGGTATTGTCTTTGTGAACACCTGCTCCCGTTCGGCGAGATCGAGATCATTGTCTAGGAAGGTTCCCAACATGGAGAATAGGTCGGCGTCCTGCACGTCTTCCTCGGGGTCGAGGCTTATGCTGAACGAAGCAAATAACATAGCGCATTTCAACATTACGCGTATTATATTTATATTGCGTACGATATTATTATATACATATAATTGATCGCTTCAATCCGTCTTACATATATATCTGCACTTATTTCTAGAATGTAATTTAAACTTAAAGAAACAGGTAATATCATTAATATCAAATATAAAAACAGAAAAGGCGCGCGTTAGAAGGTAACGAAAAGTAAAAGTAAGCGCGGGACGTACTTGCACATGTCATGCAGTCGTTGCATCGCGTCTATTAGGTCCTCGGAGTTTTTGGCCGTGGCGGCCTTGTCCAGCTGCTTTACGACAGCGGGCCACCAAGGCAGGTCACACGGTAGCATTACTAGAGCCATTGCGGATCTGCGGAGGTACAGAAAAATAATCGGAATGTTACAATTTGAGCGGTATGACCGCCGCGGGCTTATATACTCGTCAGATTGGATTTACAGTCCTTTTAGAGAGACACGCGTCGATCGTGTCATTCGGGAGCTAAAACTCGATATGCAATTCTTCATACATCCAGCGAGACGGTGTACTTTGGAAACGCGCTGATCGATTTGGATTTATATAGTCGTGGCGTGATATGTCAAAGCTACGCGTGATGAACGCGCCGAAGTAGCGCGATCGTGAAATAAAGCCGGCCGGGGAGGAAGTTAATCGAGGGATCCCCTCCCTGCTCATAAATCTCCCGTTCCGTAATCGTCCGATGCATTTACATTTGTGATACAATCATAGATTCGCTGATCGATCTACAATTTCCTCGTGATTATATTCGACTCAAATCGAAATCGAAGCTTAATGAGTAACTTATTTTGCCAATAACTATAATTGAATCTTTGTGCTTTGTTATACTTTTAAAATTTTTCATTTCACGATCACGCGATGCCTAAGTTTTAACTGTCGAAGATCTCGATGTCCGAATAGACTTTTTAAAGATCCGGATTTTAAATTCTGGAGTTTCCGGGCGCTCAAATTTAAATCGGCGTTTAAATCGCAAGTGTGTTACAGACTCTCTAAATCTCGAATACGTCTAAATTTCTTTTAAATATTATCCTTCGATTTTTTAAAACGTCTAGCAGATTGTGCGCAAAGAGATATATTCTCTCGATTATCTCGCGAATTTTATTTCGCGTGTCCGAAGCGCGTTTCGTATTCCCTCCCGGAGGAAAACGTCTGGTCGCGCACGCAGGCGCAGGCCGGAGGGTTGGCTGGTTAGTAACCTCGTCCCACGAGGCGAATATAATTAGTTTCTCTTTCACCGGAGAGGGAATTCACCGGTCGTCGACGGGACGGCGAACGGCGACGACGGACGGCCGCTTCCGCGGACCTCCAGCGCGCGACCTCCGTTTACATAATCACCTCCTTTGTCCCTCGCGGTCTACGTCGGATCAGCTGACGCGCGTAAACGGGCCTCACGTCTTGCGCTCCGTCGTCGTCGCGACGACGTCGATCGCCGACGGCGACGGTCCCGGCGTTCCGATCGCACCCACGAGACGTCGGCACATAGTCGAGTGAGAGGGTGGGTGCCACACGACACGGACTCGCGCGTTTCGCTACCACTCGGCTGCGGCCAAGATCAACCCCAACGAGTCTCACTCTCTCTCTTTCTCTCTCCCTCCCGCGTTTCTTCTGCCTCGGAAATCGCTTGGAAACTCGGAGTCACACGGGTGAATCTCCCGAAGCTTCTCAAGCGCGCGGAATCTACCGCTCTGCGAGGCCGATCTCTCGGAGGCCGATGCGTATCCGCGATCCGACTGCGCCTCGCATTCCCCTTCGACTCGCAGCCGGTCGTGGCTGCTCCGGATTCGTGACGCTCCAGACGAGGGAAATCTCTTTCAGGAAATCCGGAGCGTACGAGCGTGTGCGTGTCGCACCCCTCTCGCCCGGCTCGATTGATCGTCGTCGCGGCCCGCAGCAGCGAAGTGGAGCGGAGCCGAAGGGCGCCGCGCGAGTAGCGAACCGTTACTACTGCCACCGCGCCGTCCGTAACCACTACGCCTCGCGTCTTCCCCTCGGCGATCCCTGAACGCTCTCGCCCCGTCTCTGTCGCTACTTTAACCGTCGCGAGCGGCGGTCAGCGTTGCACCTGCTATTTATAGAAAGCGGCGCCGGCGCTCTGCCAAACTCTATATAGACGCGATATGGTGTAGTAAAAGTCAAAAATTGACCAAGCTACCCTGGTCGGACCGCCAGGACAAAAGTCTGTGCGTCAGTCAGGTGTTGTTTTTTTTTTTAGTTTCGAAAAGGCATATAATTTGCATTGTAATTAATGTTTAATTAAACGTAAAGCTTCTAATTCTTTTTTGGAATTAGCTGAAATTTTTTTCAGACGTGAATTTGAGATACATAATTTTTTTTATAGAAATATTGTATGATTGATTTTAACATATCTCCTGACCTGGTTATTTTGACATTCTATAGCAATTTAGATTAGAGATATAAATAATTTTTCGAAACATGATAGTCTTAAACGTATCGCGGCAATCTCTTGACCGAATTCTATTTCTTTCTTTTTTTTTCCATTTGCAGCAGATTAATTTTTTCTAAATGCGAATATTCGAACAAATTCTTAAGATTGTCAAATCTACGAGCAGTTCTCTCGGGATTTATTATTAAAATCAGAATTGTGTCAGCCAGTTTTGCCCACTTCAAAGTTAGTCACGAGAGAACGTATTATAGTATCTATAATATAGAATGTTCTGTAAGTTACGTGTACATACTACGTACTCCATTCAAGAGTTCATCTAGATTGCTCAAGTATCGATCGAAGAAGTAGAAGACCACTACTCTGCCGATAGTAGGTTATAACTCGACACTTTGAAATGTTTAAAACAAAGACGGATATGTGATATTTACCATGTCTTTTTGTTAAATTTCGGTGTAATATTCCGCATTACGATTTGAGAAACGATGAATATGATCGCAAATTGCGAAATATTAAAAAAAAATACGCCGCCCTTTTTTCAAGCGCCAATCAATCTCCAACAGAGATACGTCTGACACATTGACTTTGGCAAGAAAAGCCAGGTAATCCGATACGAAGCTGACAGTGGCAAACCATATTGGCAGTTCGCCATTAGCAACCTTGTACCAGATTTACTCAACGTTTACTCATAACTATTTATACGTTGCACGCTTGTACACAACCTATCTTCAATATACCCGGTCGATTCACCGGTGATATGTAGCTGTTGAATACTTCATATCCACTATTATTTACAATTGCATTTATAATAATTAAATATGCATACACATTATACGAGCTAAACTCTCTCAAAAGCCAAAAATTGATCTCTCTTAATGACATTTCTCACAAATTTTTTAACTTAAGTAGTCAATAAATACCCAAGCAGATGATTAGTTTACAACTTCAGCAATTTTCTTTGCTATTTATTTTATGGAGTTAGTTCTTCTAAAAGATCGTATAATAATATAATATATATAAATATATTATAATGCAATATATAAGTATGTATATATATAAATATATATATATATATATATACAGTATAATACAGTATACATATTATGCGAATATTATAATGTAGTACACGCATTTGCGTTAGACACAACCGCGCCGCAGGCTCTCATAATCGTGGTATCGCAATTACAATATCGCAACATAATATTAATTTCCTACGTAATTTCCTACGAATTGCCGTTTTGTAATATTTAATGCCATGCATTGTGTCCCGCCACTGTGCACGGCACGAAGACGAATAAATTAGAGCGTTTCGAAATGCGGGTGTGGGCTGAGCTTTTGGATCGGCGCGCTCATACGCGCGGAGATATCAACGCCCGATCGAGAGAGATCTCGCTTAATTCGCATAATTGGAATTGAAGTCTCCGGCCGCTACGTCATCGCGCGAAGCCGACTCGGGGGGCACCGTGCGTTTTTCTATGCGTATTTTACATATTACATTGTGTATTCTTTGTCACTCATCTTCCAAATATCGAAGACAAATATAAGTATGAGGAAGGTGAGCAGGAAAGTGTTCGTATCTGAAATCGCAAACGAAGAAAGGAGTATAAAAAAATACTCATTAATTACTTCATGAAAATATATACGTTCATTTAATTAAAAATCAGCGCTCGAGATACAGATCGACTTAAACATTGTCGCGCGTCAATCTTTATTCAATTGTGGCTAAATGAACGTTACAGATCGATATAAGTTGTTACGCCGCGTCATGGTCGTGCTAATTAAGGAGACTCCTCTTCGATCGAAATTGTACTAACGTCACAATCCGCGCCGGGTATAGAGTATGAAATGCACGAGCTAAACGCCGACGTTCGTTAATACGCCGTTCGCCGTTTAGCCACGAAGAAATTCGCCTGTTCATATGCAGCACAGACGATTACGGTTCCGACAGGTGCCACCACCTTGCGGAACCGTTGGCGCGCTTCTGCCGCCTAGAACTCAGGAAAGTATCTCGTGCAGAACTTGTTGAATTTAAATTATTTAGGTATGTGGAGAAAAAAGCATATACGCGCGTGCGAAAGGAATGCGTTCACGCAACAAGTCCAGGGAAAAAATCATTTATCTGTTATTCATTTATTTTAAATTAAATCGATCGATGTTATGAATTTATTCTCACGTTATATATCTTTCACGAGTAACATTGATGGAACAAGCGCTCGTGAAATTCTACGAAAGAACTTATTGTTAATCAATTGTCTCGATGCTTTTGCGAAATTTTGAAAAATCTCGAATCTTTTCTCATCGATTGCGAGGGAACTGCAGCAGCTCATCGATTGCGTTACGACTGTTAATTAAACCAAAACTTCGGCGAGTCTCTCTGATTTTTTTGGACTTTAGTCAAGTAAACAAAATTGGCGTAAAAAAAATCTGGGATTTTTGCCTCACGAGTCTTCAACAACGCGACGTCACAACGACGCCATGTTGTACGACCGCTACGGTCCTGCTCCCATTACAATCGCGCGGACCCCACGGTCCCACAACGGGGCGATTGTATCGGAGAGCTGCCGGAGAACGAGAGAGGTAGGGGTCTCCATGTCGGTTCAGTGAGCTCACGCACGTCGAACACTCATCAGCGCACGGCGCCGTACGGCGGTACGTCCAAAAATGGCGTTCCTCGCGTAGCGTATACATCAGTTTCGCCGTCGTCGTCGCCGAGGTCCGTCGCCGACGTTCGCCAACGTCGTCACGAGCCGCTCGCCGTACGACCTGGTGAAGCCACGGGGCGCCAAGTCCGAGGAGTGGAGCCAACGTAAATATATAATATTCAACTTCGCATACCGCGCGTTCCTTACGTTCTGTGCGTGCGCGCGATTACGTAGGCGGGTGGATGCGTGTACGTGTGTGTGCGCGTGGTGTTTCCGTTGGGATATCGCGACGACGAGATACATCCTCCGGATGAGCGCGACGTCGGCGGTGTTCTACGTACGTCGCTGCGACGGAGCGAGTCGACTGGGGACTGGCGAACAGGGGGACTCCGTTTATCAGAGTATGCCTCCGACAAGGCGCCCGAACGATAAGCTCGTCCGGAGTAAATTTGAATGAAGAATTTGTAGGCGCTTAGCAAGACTAAGTTGTGCGTTTAATCTTGACAGCTCGAGGACTGACAAGAGTCGAGCGATAACGAGCTAGCCATTTGGAATAAAGGACTCTCTGTGCAGTCGAGGATTTGCAAAATCAATGATCTGAAATGATAACAGAGCTTTAAGTCGAATTAATGTTATCGAAGATCCATCAAAGCCACAATTCATAAGAGAATTTTTAAGACTTAAGATAATAAACTTCATGATCTAGGATTTATAATACCAAGGATATGTTTTGAATTTAAAATCTTGTACAAACATTCCTAAATACTTGGAAATCTATGGAATTTAAAATGATTATCGATAATCAATTACAAATTCAGGGATCTATAAAATCTAAAATAAAATTAAGAATCTCGTATAATAAAAATCTGGATATATTGACTTGTACAAAAAGAATTCATGATTTCGCAATCATAATTTTGGAATCCATAAAATTTTCGGCAATTGAATGGAACTAAAATCTATTGATCTAAGAATGTGATTAAGATCCTCGACGAAATTAAAAATTGGAGCACAAGAGAACAGTAACAGAAACGAAACTTCTAGGAGCTGTAAATTAGAAAAGCTGTAAAAAAGAAAAGAGGTAAATTTTACGTTCCGTTGTTCCAATTTACGCTTCCTAGAAGCTTCGTTTACGCTTCCGTCACTCCTCCGTTTACATTCCGACTTATTGTCCGATTTTTATTGTCGCCAGGAATACTTAAGATATCCACAATCTAAAAAAATAAAAGAATCATAAACTCACTGCGCAAGATCCACGTCGGAAATCCATTTTAATAATCGCGTATCATTCTCGAATGGAGCGAGATTTCTGATAATGTCCCATTGTTACTTCACACATACACACAGCCTCTTCGATTTCGATCCGTCGATTGCGCAACCGCCGTTCAACGTGCGAAACATGATAACGATCTTCCGTCGAGCTAATGAATGGAACGATCGCCTAGATCGTTCGATCCATTTTCTCAGCGGCGGCGTTTCTCTCGGGCGACGTGAATGACGGACGTGTTACGTGCGTGCGTGCGTGGTGAATAAAATTTGAGAGCACGGCGGGTGAAAGTCGTTTGCACGCCGGTGTGTATCGCTTAGTGAATTTGATTCACGAGTGTGTCAACGTTCACGTGCGGATGCGCGAGAGCGCGATCCCTGTTTGATTTCGCCTGACACGTTCTGATAAGCGTCGAGATCTTTCCCGCCTAACTCCGCCTGTCCTCCCTCGCGCGCGCGCGATAATCGTGCCATTGTATTTGTTGTAAAAGGCAATTCTCGCGAACAAACTCTAATTCTCCCACGGGTGTTTTCTATTACGTCTCAATTGCGCTCCTCCCTTCTTGCGCGGTTATCGCAACACGCGATCGTAGGACGAACGATTCGCTCGTATCTCCGCGGGTTGTTACGCAATACGCGCAAA